AATGGGACAGGGTTTAGGGTTTTAGGTTTAGGGTTTTAGGGTTAAGGGTTTTAGGGTTAAGGGTTTAGGGTTTAGGGTTTTAGGGTTTTAGGGTTTTGGGTTTTGGGTTCAGGGTTTAGGGTTTGGCGTTAAGGGTTCAGAGATTAGGATTCAGGGTTTAGGGTTGGGGTACCCAGGGCTGAGAGCTTAGGATACAGGGTGTAGGAACTTCAGGCTTGGGGTTGGTGAGTTCAAAAGCAGTGGGGGTCCCTATCAGGCAGTCTATACAATGAGTTGTGAGAAAACAGCATCTTGAGGGCGACGCTTACTTGAGGGTTAAGAGCTTACAGTTTCAGGGTTCAGGATTCAGGGTTGAGGGTTTAGTCCGAACCTAGGACGGTTTAGGGCTAATATGTACCGTCATACTGGTTGCTGCGCTGGAGTAAGAAAGTGAGCTCTCATTTACGCAAGTGGAGATCAGGACACATCCAAGCCTATAGCCAGCTGTCAAGAGCCGTAAAAGCTAGGGAGGTGGTTGTTAATAGGGAATAAGAGAAAAGGTACCTAAAGAATCCTGTATGAATACACTTCCTTATTCCCTATTTACCCCAAGAAAGAATCTGGTACCAGTTTTGACTTAGGGTACCATCTACCTCATGAAAAGAAAGTGGGCGTGCCTTTCCTTGGTTTGCTTGAGCAGGCTACTAGGGTGCTTCTGCTCGAAAGTCACTTGCGGGCTGTAGCGGAGCAGTAGGAAAAAAGCAGTGGTAAAACAAAGGCAAATTTGTGAAATGACTTTCAACAAACAGTTGGCACTCATTTCTGGCGATATGCGATGGCTGGAGGGGTAACGTTTACCCATCCGAAGGCCCGGCGCTATGCGCAAGCAGCTGTTGCGAACCTATCTGGTAGTTTCCCAATATTAGGGTTCTTCTGGAGACGGTTTCGTGATAGCCGGTTGCAGATACCAGTACACCACAAACACTACTAGCTGCTCGCCGGGTGTGGCTGCCTAATACACATTCATCGGTTTCCTATTGAGACAAGCTGCAAGTCCCTGTGTCTGTTGTATCCCAGGGGGCTGTACAAGAACATGATTTCGTCAGACCATGGTCGGGGGGATACGGGTCCTCTTTATGCTCGTTCTGCTGTAGGTGTTGCAGTATGATCCAGTTGAAGCCCCAGACACTGGAACCAAACTTTAACAAGCCAAACTCTAAACCCTGAAGCCTGAAAGCTCTAAAACCTCAAATCTCAAGACCTTGAGTCTCCCGTTGCCGTCGGCAAGGTTCCTACAGGCCTCCACGAGGCTGTCGACCAGGCCATCTTTCATGGGCCCTGTTCTGGGCGTCCGTCTACGCCTGATGGTCTCAGAGGTTTATTGCATCCTGATCCCGACGTCTTGGGCTCAAAGCTACATTTGGTAGCATCCCTAAACAGGGGGACCCAATGTAGACCCCAGAATACTACAGTCCTTAATATGGGACCCCCAAATGGTATCCCAAATTTGAGAAACCCTCATTTCAAGCCCTGCAGAAGGTAGCAGCTAATCTGCTCAGCCGTTTTGTCTTTGGGGACTTCTGGCGCAAGACTCCGTGAAGTCCGGCCATCAGAGTTAAATCGCGCATTTCTGAGGGCATCATACACGTGTTTTAGAGCAACCCTGAACCCTAACCTTAAAACGCTCAATGCCTAAACCCCAAAACCTTAACCCCTAAACCGTCAATCCCTAAAACCCTAAATCCCTAAAACCCTCAAACCCTGAATCCCTAAACCCTTACAACCCTACACCCAAGACCGTAAATCTTGCGCTGTTGGTGTTCGTAATGCGAAGTGGCTCCTGAATTCTAGAGAGGCTTTTGACCTGAACCAGTTTTGAGGACTTCTGTATAGGGTTTAGGGTGGAGGGTTTAGGGTTGTAGGGTGTCGGGATTTAGGGTTTTAGGCTTTTAGGGTCTAGGGCTGCATACTTACAGGCCATATCTCTCAAGAAGCTTTGCCCTGAAACCTAAACCCTAGACCTTAAACCCACTTATAGACCATGTCTCTTAAGAAGTTTTGCCTCTCCAAGGGCCGCAGCAGCCTCAACCCTGATCATTAGTCCCTCAAGTCGATGGCACAGACAGGCCATAAATTCAACCTTAATCCCTTAAACCCAAATAAGCCATAGTTCAAATTCTTTGAAGGGCTTTATATAGGCGAATATTCTGGGGGTTATGAAGGGGGATACTAGGAGTTCAGGCTATGGCTCAAGTAGGGGTTCCCAAAATCAGAGGTACGATTTTGAGGTCCCGATAACAAATCCTTGTGTATTGGGGTATACAAGCGGGCCCCAATTTTGGGAAACTACCAAATCCTCCCTGCAAAGTGGAAATAATAAGGGGATTTTGTCAACCCTAATCCCCAAAACCCAAAACCCTAAACATTTCATCGTAAAGATCCATGGGCACCACAATGCTTAGCTTCCGTCGTGGCTCCAGGCTAAGGTTCTCGTAGAGTAGACTTGGCCGCAGTGGAGCGGCCTTGAGAGAAGCCTGGAATGCATCTGGCCTTAGGGTTTGGGAGTTAAAGCCCAAATTTGGGATTTAGGGTTTGGGCTTTCGGACTCAGGATTTAGGGTCTAGGATTTAGGATTCAGGGTGCAGGGTCGAGGTTTTAGGACTGGGTAAACATCTGGGACTCAAGGTTCAGGGTCTGCGTAGGGTTTCGGACTTCTGATTCACGGTTCGCGGGTTCCCCTCCCACCTCCCCCCGTTCAACTTTCTAGGTTCCCATAAGCTGAGGTACTTCAGAGATGGTTAAGTCCACAAGGGGTTCAAAGGTCAAGCTTCCAACATTCTTGGGCTTCAGTAATTAGGGGATTGAGGGGGCTTGGGCAAGCAGGGATCCTATAAGCCTCATTTTGGTGGCCAGGGTACACAAAGTTCCGATCTCAGTATCATTGGGAGCTCATAGGGGTCTAGCATGGGTGCTGGAGCCCCTCTACGTAGAAATCTGAAGAGGTAGAAGGAGTATCTTCTTAGAATCCTTGCGTCGTTCCACGAGAATATGCACAGGCCTCTACGTTAGCCCCATTTGGATGATTTTTTGTCCATTCCGCAGAACTGACATTGAAACTATTTCAATAGATCTTTGTACACTGTGTTGGAGATTCTGTGTTCAAAGCTGCAGAGTCTGTCGTGCATGATTTTCGGGGAGTGTCTACTGCGCATGGCGGAGGGCGAGGGGGTCTATGGGCTTGGGTCTATGGGCTTCGCTTTCCTAAGACCTAATCTGATCCAGGATCCAGAGTTTAGGGTTTAGGATTCAGGGTTTAGAGCTTTGGTTGCGGATAATTCTTTTGTACGGTCCGCCCTACTTGCATCACCACAAAGAAGTACCAATCTGAATATGATAGCCAAGAGAGGCTTCTGAACCCAAATCGTGTAAGCTTACGACCCTAGAGACCTGAATAGGCTAGATCCCTGAAAGTCTAACCCTAAACTCTACAATCCCCCCTATACGCTTAAGATTCTGGAGCAAGAATGCCAAAGCGCAAAATCCTTGAAACTGTACCAACTGGACGGAGGCCCTGAACTTTAATTCCAAGCGCCAAGCCGTACGTCTTTCAAGGCCCATGGCCGCTGTGAATCTCCCTAAACAGGGTCTGGGGTTTAGGGTTCCACAATTTGTATCCCTACATAACCGGGTTCAGGGTTTAAGGTTACCCTTGAACCCAGACCCCAAACTATACACCTTACCAGCAGCAAGGCCCATGGGCAGCTGTGAATCCTTCTTCTTTGGGCCAGAGCCAGACGGGGTGGAGGGAGCGACACTAAGCAGACCTGAAGCAGGGCTTTGTGGTTCATGGCTTAGAGTCTGGGGCTTACCGAAACCCACTGAGTATGTAGAATGATGGCTTTTTGGGCTCTGTTTATGTGTGCTGGGGCATCATGTTACTTACTTTTGAGGTCCAAATGGAGTTTGGGGGTTGGGCTTTGGGGTTTGGGGTTTAGGGTTTAGGCTGTAGGGCTTGCGCACTTGCGCGCTGAAGGTCGTACATTTTGCGAGGTATCTTCCGGCAAACATAGGGACATCCAGTGTCGAGGGCTGTTGACAGGATTTCTGTTTTAAGATAGAGTGCAGGCTGTGTAGGGCTTGAGGCCCAGTCAGGCTGTACAACTCTATGCCCTGAAGCCTAAACATTAAAACCTAAGATTTAACCCCTAAGCGCCGAACCCTCAATCCCAAACCCTAAACCTTACCCGTTGTAAAGACAAGGTTGCACGCTGTAGTGTGGGCCTTCGCCTTGAGTTACTTCGCTAGAAAACTTTCAGGGACGCCTGTGCAAGGAGGTTGCCAACTGGGTTCGGATGAGAGTTGAGGATGGAGCTTGGGTGCTTCTTCACCACGCAGCCCCAAAGCTCTCGTGTTGGAATCCCGTGGACTTCGCATACTTCACTTCTGCCACTCATCCACAAACCCAGAATCCGAAAAAGCTTCGACCTCTCTTCTGCCTTGATTATAAGGAATGGCCAGATTACGAAAGGCCTCCGGGTGCCGCCTGATTCAAGGCTAAGGATGTTGGGAGTCTGGTTGTTGTAGGGAGCATCTGGGAAGGGTATGCGGGGGCCGTAACGGGGACCTGTTTGCATTCTCGAAGCCAAACAGGCCGCTGAGGCCCTGAAAGGGTCCCTCTATGACCAAATTTGGCATGGTAAGAGCCCCATTTTATTACACCACAAGATATGATTTTGGCATCCCATATTTTGAGAAAATACCATATGATCTAGTTCTTATGAAAGGTGCCCCAGAAGCGGCCCCTAGCTTTTTAGAAGCCCCCATTTAGGCTCCTGTTCTGCTCAACTTTAGTGGTCTAGGATCCGCGGTTCAGTTTCAGGACATATCGACTTGTTTGAAGGTCTCGCTGCAACCTCCATGCTCAGGTCAGTCATAGTTTCGGGGTACAGCCAAACTAGCCTTCAAGGCCGGAACCTACACGCCGAATCCCTTGAACAGAAAAACCTCAACCCCAAGTTGCAGTCCCCCCTAAGTAGATAGAATACAGGGTATATGGGGATCTTATTATAAAATATCCAGAGGCATATTCTATCTACTTAAGGGGGACTATAACACAGGAAGCCGTGGAGCCTTAAGCCCCCACAACCAGACGTGCCGAAACGTAGGTATAGCCAACTCCAACTTAGGTTTTAGGGATGAGGGTTTAGGGTTGAGGGTTTAGGGTTTCGAAGCCATCTTGCCGTTGTAAGCCTAAAGCAGTGATTAGAATCTATAGACCTCATGTCACGGGTCTTTGCCTCACGCGCAAGTTAGCAGTGCGGGCATACAGAGTTTGGTTGCCTACTGCTGGGGCGGCAATAGTCCTCCTTATTGGGGTAGGTATGCTTCTAATTAGGTCCACTTCCTTCAGCACCCATGTTGTTTTACAACCGGGGGGGGGGGGCCTCCCAGATTTTGAGAGAAGCCTCGAACTGAGAATGACCCACCTAGACTGCTGTTCCGTTTTAATTTTTAATCTAAGTTACCATAAAAGGTAGAAAAATGGTATGGAGGTTTGTGAAAATGGTGGTCCCATTCGGGTTCCGCTTCTAGACCTATAAACCTCCATTTTCCATCTAGTTTCGATTTTGTTTTTCCATTTGATTCTCCATTATTGTGGTAGTATTTCTCTGTTCTCTAAGCCCAGTACAATCCCTATGTCGTCCTTGTATAATACCTACATAACCCCGATATGATCCCCATGGATTGCCCCAACAATGGTAACTTAGTTTGAGTTCTTCCCTAGACCCTTGACCTAGAAATTCCCCAAAATAGGGGGACACCAATATAGCCCCCAAAATACTATAAGGCCTTATTGTGAGGACCTTCGATTTTGGGAAACCCCCACCTTGCTCCATATGCCGAGGCAAACTCAATATACTATTGCGGATGCTGGGCCTGTGATGTGGGGGTTTAGGGTTTAGGGTAGGGGTCCTTATCTAGAGTTTACTTACTGGTTCTTAATAGGGAATAGGAGAATACAATGCCTATTTATGATCCTCATATAATATCTTCCCTCATTCCCAACTAAGAACCAGTAACTTTAGGTATTCAGGGTTCAAGGATTCAGGTTGCCGGGCTTCAGGGCTATTGAGAACCCCAAACCCTAAATCCGAAACCCTAAACCCTGATTTGGAAGAGGGAAGGTGTGGGCTCTGAGGTCTTCTGGCTAAGAACTCAGAGGGCTTGCGTAGCCGCAGACCAGAACAGTATGCCCTCAACATCCTAAACCCTAAGCCCTAAACCCTAAGCCTTAAACCCGAACATCAAACTCTGACCCCTAGGAAAACCCTGCCATCCCCAGAACCATGGGAAGCGATTTAGGGTTTAGAGTTCAGGATTTAATATTCAGGGTTTAGGGTATATAGTCTAAACTCCTAGTATTCCCCTTAATAACCCCTACAGCAGTCCCCCGTATAGTCCTTTCTAGAACCCCTTTTAAGGAGTTTAGACTATAGCTCACATGGGAAGCGGTCTAGGATTTAGAGTTTAGGGTGTAGGGTGTGGAGCTTTGGGTTTCCAAATTGGGGTTTAGGGCTCCTGTTTGAGAAGAGAAGCGCCTTTGCAGCTACCCATCTTTCTTCCGTGTCAATTTGGTGGAAGGGAATCCACGGCAGCCCCAGACGTAGACGCGTCGCACTTGTCACTGTCACCATCTCAGAAGGTTTCCCTGAGAGGTTTAGGGTTAAGGCTTCAGGAGGAACAATATCAACTCCAAAACCCTATTCTGTGTCTATATCTGTGTAAGTAAGACCTGTGGTAGGAGCTGTCGGATGTTCAGTTCTGTTGGGTCTGGTCATGCTCTATAGGGATCTCCCTGGATAAAAAAGGTTTAGGGTCCTACATTACACATTAACACTCCCAGGAAGGCGGTGACGGCCGATGGTATATGGGCACAGTGCAGAGGCCGACATGGCAATTATCCGGTTTACCATCTTGAGATTCCCAGTAAGTTTCAGGGTTCAGGACGTGGAGTCTTTGGTGCCAGGTTTTAGGCTTTTCCAAACACTGAGACTCACGGTAACACCCGGCAGTCCCCGAGAATCTGTTCTTATGCAAGCTGCTACGAACAGGATCTGTTCCAAGCGTGAGTCTAGGTATCCATAAGAAGGCTGCCTTGATAGAATCCTCAGAAAGGGTCTCAAGCCATGCTTTTTAATTTTTGGCAATGCGTTTCTCCAAACAAGTGTAGCCCGTCTGGGTTGCTGGATCCCGAATTGATTAATTGGATGTCTCTTTCTGCTCCTTGTGAAGGGACCAAGGACTCCCATCGCATACACTCTTGCTAACACTTGTGGGCGTCTTGGACATTCACCAAAACAGGTAACGCCGATATCATATGCATACCTCCCCGACTTTGCAGCACTGTTTGGGGCTCAGGGTTGCTAAGTCCAGCTTTATCCAGATCTCTCACAAAGCACAATTCCTTGGTTTCGTGATATGGCAAAACGCACCTGACATAGGTGCGGCTGAAACAGAAGTCAAGAAGCTTCTGAATGCTGGGCCTTTTCCATGGCTACCGTGGTCGTAGGGTCTCCCTGGGTTTAGGGTTTAGGTTTTAGCCCCTAGATTTTTGGAAGGCTCATATTCCAACTCCCAATCAGTAGACGGCTTTGGCAAGATACATTTTCAGAAGCAAGTGCGCCGACAGCTGTGTTGGTTAAGGTAGGCAAATGTAAACGTCCTCAATGTGGTGCGGGTATCACACCAGTTCAAACTCGTGGTAAGCGCTTAACTCTTGTTTATCTGTAGACCAACTGCAGGAAGCTTTGCCTAGAAGAAGGGTTGTGGGTAGCACAAGGGTAAAGACGAATAAAGTGCAACCCTTAGTTGCAATTTTCTTTTCTATCATACCTATATAACCCCAATATATCCTCTATATAACCCCTATATGATTAAGCCGAAGCCTTGCAAGGCTATATGCTGGCAACAAGTGCAAGATCTGTTACGACGATGGTGACTCGGATCTGTAGCATCCAGCATTGGGGTCCAGGACCATGAACTTCTACTCCTAAACCCTAAACCCCAAACCCTAAACCCTAGGGTTATCTCGAACTTCTAATCCTAACTTTAGACCCTAAACCCCAAACCCCAAACCCTAGGGTTATCTCTGGGTTCTGGGGTTATGAAAGATCTTAGGGACTTTAGGGAGTCCATGAGGTTGAGGATCCTTGGGGCTTCAGGATCTTCAGGCTAAAGCCAACCCTAAACCCTAAACCTTGGGTACTGCCCCCACCCAGTAACAGTCTATATTAGGGGTTCTATTAACCATATTATAACTATTATCCAACTGTTACTGAGGGGGGGCAGTACTGAACCTAAACCGTAACTCTGGGGGGCTTGGAGAGTTTGGGTTGAGGCTTTTGAGATACTCGACTGATGAAAAAGGGTGGCTTTTGGGAACTTGCAAGCCGCTCTTGCGATGTCTAGAGCGCCATACGCTTGCTTCGACGGATTTCTTGCCGTCATAATTTTCAAGCAGAACTCTTCATGTGGGCGCACACCTCATGAGGAACTTTCACCCCTTTGACCTGGGGTTTGAACTTTGGGCTGCTTCGAGTTCAAGCAGCCGATGAGAGAACCCCGTTCGTCCAATTAGGGTGAGTCTGGGTGAGAACTGCAGCTGTACATCTTCAGCTGCAAGCCTAGAAAGCAATAATGGAGAATCGAATGGGAAAGAACATGGAAAATTCATGGAAGCTGGGGACTATGTGGGGTCTGGGGTTTCCAAGAAATAGGGGTCCCAGCAAAAAGATTAAAATAGATTGAGTCTATAGCGGGGGGACCCTTATTTAGCAAAACTAGGTTTAGGATTTAGGGTTTGAGACTGAAAGCCTGCAGATGCAAGCCCAAAAAGCACAAAGGCTGAAAACCCCACATCCTGGACCTGCATGCTTGATAGGCAATCCTGAAGTCCTTATTATGTTTTTGACTACCTTGAGGTTTATGGCTTCAGGGGCTTAGAGAGCTAGGGTTTGGATTTGGCTTTCAAGTGCAGGACGCCAACTGCTGCAAACCATACGAGGAGCAAAGACTTCAAATTCTCTGTCGCCGTCTTTTGCGGTGCTTACCCCACAGTGCGTATAGACCCCTGTGCTGGCCGTATGAGCTACTGTCTAAACTCCTAGTTTCCCCCCTAATAACCCCTATAGCAGTCCCCTATATAACCCCCTACATAGCCCCCTTTAAGGAGTTTAGACTGTAGCTCACATATTCATTGAATTCTATGCTGCGCACTCTCAAGCACTCGGCTCATAGGTCCTTTGAGGTACGCGGAGCCATTAGCCCACCTTATAAATCCTAAACCCTAAATAGTAGCTTCTATTTTTTCCATTACCCCTATACAACCCCTAGATAATTCCAATATATCTTACTAAGTCCCCTGACCCTCCAAGCAATATCCCCAAACCCTCTCTTGTTCTTGAGTCTCCTACATTAACCTTTGAAAAGATGAAGAGAGGAGTGCACGTTAAGTACAACGCAGGTGACTCCTGGACGGGCAATGCGCGAGAGGTGTGGTCCCTGAACGGACCCCCACCTGCTACTTGGCAGTTAGTGTTTGGGCTGTAGGTCTTGTGGTTTTTCGGGTTTAAGGCTTGCGGTCTAGGGTTTAGGGCTTGGAGGGTTTGGGCTCTAGGGTTCATTGCTCAGAGCTTAGGCTTTAAGGCCTCGGGTTTAGGGCTAGCTTAGGTCTCAAGCTTTAGTACTTAGGACGCTGCGTCTGCGTTGACATGGTTTGGGGTTTGGGGGCAACCCCCACCCCCTCTACATCTAAGACACCCCAACCTCCCCCCTCCCCCCAAAGATACATGCTCCCTGAATTAGTGCTAACTAGAGGACGGACAAATCTGTTTGGATTTCAGCTAGGCGGATTTCAGCCTGACGATTTTGGACATATGAGAATGCGGGGCTGGGCGTTTGAGCCCGAGAAGTCCTCCACTGACAACATGAAGACATGAACTTAGACTGGGTTGCTGTTAAGGGTGAAGGGCTTAGGGTTTAGGGGTTTAGGGGTTTAGGGTTTAGGGTTTAGGGTAGTCCTGCACTGACAACATGAAGACATGAAGTGACGCTTGAATGTCAGGCTTCTCGACCTACATAGCCGCGCAACTTTCCCGTGGAGGCAACTGAAGCCCCAAACCCGAAACCTTAGCCCCCAATCCCTAAACCCTAAACCCTAAACTCTACACCCTAAACCCTAACCCTAAACCCTACTTAATAAACCCAAGCCCGAAGCCCCGAACCCGAAACCTTGGCCCTCCAAACCCCAAGCCCCAATCCCTACGGTCTGAACCCAACACAACCTTAAACCCTAAACCCTTAAACCCTGAACCCCCAAACCCCTAACCCTAAACCCTTAAACCCTGAACCCTAAACCCTTAAACCCTGAACCCCTAAACCCTAAACCACGAAACCCTAAACCCTTAAACCCTAAACCTCTGCCAGCCCAGGGTGCCCCGCCGCCGCAGGCAATGCCAATGGGAGTGCCGGTCGTTCAAGGTGCGCTGGATCCACATCTTGAAAGGGGTAAAGGTTTAGGATGTGGGTTTTTGGCTTAGGATTAGGGTTTAAGGCTTGGGGTCTAGGATTTAAGTTTTAGGATTTAGTGTTTAGGGTCCAGGATCTTTAAAGGTTAATTCTTGGCTTCAGGGCCTGCGGGGGCAGAGGTTCGGGGTTGAGGGTGCTGTAGGTTTGAGCTGGCCAAGGTTAGGGTTTAGGGTTGAGGGTTTAGGGTCTAGGCTAGCGAAAGAAGCTTGGTTATGATACACCCTAGATTTCACATCCCTAGATTTCTTATATATCTCTAGATATCCCATATTAGGGCCCCAGGAAAAACGCTGCGCCTCATCCAGTAGTCTTTGGGCGATCTCGTGCCCAAACCCTGTACAAGCCAAGGGGTGGCCCAAGAATGAAGGCTGCAAAACTTCAGCCAACACACTGCAAAACGAAGCGGGTAAACCCAACAACGAAGGATGTTATTCTGGGTTGCTGTTAAGGAACTTAGATTCCGTTACCATAATGGGTATATATAGTAAAAACGAAGGATGGTTATGTTGAGATACGATTTCAACCTTTCGATTTTGCCGATTGCTCCTGGCCTGAGTGATGGAGGTAGAGAGCCAACTCGAAATGGGGGTTTCCCAAAATTAGGGTTTAGGGTTTAGGGTTTTTGGGGGTCCCCATAATAAGGACTATAATATTTTTGGGTCTACATTGGGGTCCCCCTTTTTAGGGAAACTACCAAATGCTTTATTGATGTCCCATGCGGTAGAATTCGACGATGATGAGAATAATGGCGATGACGATAACCATGTTGATCATGCTGTTGCTGGTGACGCTCATGATGCAGATGAAGATGCTGGCAATAGCAATGGCGATCGCAGATAGCAGTCTTGAAGGCATGGATGACACGAGCAATCATGCTACTGCCGCTAGTGCTGCAGATAGTTGTTGTACCTGATAATGCCAGCGGTGATGATGGCGGTGATGATGCTTGTGATTTGGTGATTGCCCCCACCCATTAACACATGGATAACTTTTGTATTTGACATTATATATAGCCCTGAATATGACCCCTATTATAGGCTGTTACTGGGTGGGGGCAGGACCCAAGTTGTGATGATGATGGTGATGAGCTGCCTCACTTGCGGATGCGAATACATCTCACTGCCCTCCTTCAACGGTTTGGACATCGCAGCTACAGAACGCCCACTAAACCCTAAACCCTAAACCTAAACCCTAAACCCTAAAGCAAGACTGCGGGGCGGCCAGCCGAGGGGAAATTTCCTTTACCAATGACCAAAACCCTACCTTGGAGGGTCAGGGCGACTTAGTAAGTAGGTTATAGTAGGTAGGGTTTTGGGTTTAGGATTTAGGGCAGGTTAATACACCCTATAACCCATATAGTAACCCTAGATATCCCCATTATTAACCTACTTGCTAAGTCCCCCTGACCCTCCAAGTAGAACCTTGACTCGACCTCTACGGCTCCAATTTGCCATGGAGCCCGAAAAGGTCCCTACATGAGCTATAGTCTAAACTCCTTAAAGGGCTATATATGGGGGAGGATTACAGGGGAGTATCATATGAAAGGGGGAGACTAGGAGTTAAGACTATGGCTCACATGGACTGCGTGAAGGGCTCCGTGCTAGTCGGGATGAGAGCAGCCCAGAGCCAGGTAGATAAGCAACTTTTATGACCGTAAGAGGAAGGTAAAATGAAAAGACACCACAGATTTCTGGATGTGGCGTGTGAGATGTTGGGGCTCAATATCTGTAAGTAAAGGCCGTACTCAAAGCCGAGGCTTATCAAGCAAGTATTTGGGCTAGTTTTGGGGAGGGGCCTCCTATGACCCTATGACGGAGGCATACCTGTCAATGTGTGACACCAGAAGTGAGCGGCATACTTGTCCGAAGTTCCCATAGGGACATGGGGAGTTGTCGCACTTAGCAACCACAAATAAGCTATACACCCTACCACAGAGAGCACTTTCAAACAGGGAATGGTCACATTCATATTAAAAAACTGCAACGCATGGGAGTTTCTCAAAAGTCTGGGTCCCTTCTTGGAAGATCTCATTTCAATCTAAGGGTTCGAGCGCACAAGGAAGCGCTCGCAGTGTTGAGAAAGCTCCAAGCGAGTTTCACCCAAAACGGAGCGCCCGGAGTGGGAAATTTCCTGAAAAGAAGGGTTGGCGTCCCAGCGGCTCAGAGGGTTTTGCTTTATGAATTGAGACCCATAAGTTCTCCCCCTAAACGGTTGGGTCTAGGGTTTAGGGTTTGGGGTACATGTGCTTAACGCAGTGATAGTATACGCGGTGGCAAGCCCAGCTTGAACAACTGCTTCTTGTTTTCAATCAGCAAGGCCCCTCTCTGCCTCCCCGCCCCTCATCATGAAGCTTGCGCTCCTGATAATCCTGAATCCTGAACCCTACCTCAACCCTCAACCATAAACATAAGTAACAAACCTTCAATTTTGAGTCTTTGAAGCCCTTCCCACTACTGAGCCCTTTGACATTCCGAAGGTCTTTCCTCAACCTCTTGGGTTTAGGTTTAGGGTTAGAGGCTTAGGGTGTAGGGTAGGGGTGGAGTTTACGTTTTAGGGTTTAGGGTTTAGCTTTGTGATCTTCACCCTTCCCTACGTCACTTAAGATTACCGATGCAGCCCCCGAAAGCCCTTGCAGCAATGGTCATGACCAACAAAGTGCAGCTGCCGACGCTCCGAATGCAACCAGTAACCATCATGCTTGTTTCTGCCATGTTGCTGAGTTCGCTTGTCATTTCTGTTGCTCCATCTTCTAGTTAGTCTAACTAGTAGTCATGGTTGAAGCTTCCTGTCACAGTGGTGGTGGTGGTGGTGGTGGTGGTGGTGGTGGTGGTGGTGGTGGTGGTGGTGGTGGTGGTGGCTATGGCGGTGGCGCGTTACGGCCACTTCCTAGCTAGGACTAGGGGACTGGGAATTCAAGAAAAGCATGCACAGGGGTCCCTACACGAATCGTGAAGATTGTGGTGCATGTTGAAAAGTCCCAGATTTTTAGACAGTTCGAAGGTAGAGCTAAGGAATCGGGTTGTGCTCATGAGCAGATGGGCCCATGCATTTAGCAGAATTGGCGTCTAAACCGCAGCCTAACCTGGCTTATTCTGAAGGCTCTGGCATACTTTTGCTGTTTTCCCTGCTTGCAGTATGGGGTTCTTGACAAAGCCTAAACTCATCAAACCCTGGGTGTAGGGTTTAGGGAGAGTAGGCTGCAGCTTGAGCAGGACCCCAACCCTTGCACCGCCCACGTGAAGTGAAGCCTCCTCCCCAGGCCCTGCACGCTCGGAATCAGCAATCTCTCCGAAGCTTGAGACTCCAAACTTCACCCTCTGCACCATTAAATCTCTATGAGCCATACTCCTAGTATCCCTCTCCGTAACCCCTACAATGTTCGCCTACATAATCCCCTGCATAAGCTCCCCTAGTTCAGACTATAGCTCATATGCAGTACCTTCTTTGGGTTATTTCGTTGTTTCGCAAAATAAGGGGACCCCAATATAGACCCCAAAATACTTTCGTCCTTATTATAGAGACCCCCAAAAGGGTACCACTAATTTTGGGAAACCCCTAAACCCTAATCCCTAAACCCTATAAGACCCTATATAACCCTGTATAATCCCTATATCCCTCTTTAAAGGGGATCCCCAAAAGGTACCCCTAATTTTGGGAAACCCCCATTTAGATTGCTATAGCTCATTACCCAAGGCCGATTCCACCGAGTCAATTGGCTGAAAGCAACGAGAACACTTGCCCGGCTACTCGGCCGTTCTTGTGGGGTTTAGGATTTAAGGGTTTAGGGTTTGGGGTTCAGGGTTTAGGGTGTAGGGTTTAGGGTGTAGGGTTTGGGGTTTAGGGTTTAGGGTGTAGGGTTCAGGGTTCAGGGTCTGAGGGTTTCAAGAGGGTTCAAGCGGTGAGATCTTTGGGTTCAGGTTTGGGGTTCAGGGTTTTAATTATAGCAGGTTGAGGGCTCAGGATGTAAGGTCTAAGCACCGTCCATCAAACCCTAAACCCTGAACCCGGGGTAGGGTCTGAGGTCTAGGCTTCAGGGCCTAACATGCAGGCCCAAGCCTAAAACCGCCAAAGCCCTAAAACCTAGAATAGCTGATCTGCTCATCATGTTGGTGTCGCGGGCCATTTTTTCTAGGTATTAATTTGGAAGATCCCGGTAGACTAGACCCTTAAGCCCTGAATCCTAAACCCCCAACCATAGACAGCCTAGGTTTGTCAGACAAATCGTATGGACATGGTGTTCCAGTGCGGTCATCGGCTGTGCGGCAGATGTGGCATGGCAAAGCAGTCGTTTAGGGTTTAGGAAATTTTGGGACCCTGGGGTTCCTGATGGTCTAGGTAACCCACTTGAAGGGCTTACAATATAAGATTGTAGCGGGCTTGTGAAGGGGGTATAAAAAGTTACCTAACACGAGGATCCCTCAAAGTAGGGCCTGGGCAGCGAAAGGGACTCAGGGTGCTGTTAAGCATATCTATGGGGGACAAGGTGCATTGAATATATGTATTGATCCTTTAATTTTTAAAACCAAATGGTGGAACTAGTGTTTGGGACCTGGCGTCTATGTCAAGCCCAAGGGACCTTCGGTTTTTAGGCCATTCCCGTGCGAGTTGTCTTGTTCTACATGGGCATTCTAAAGCCCAGCATGGCATGACGAAATAGCATACAAGACCTGGCGCCTGGTAAAGTCCAACGCCCCAACTCAGTACTGAATCTTGGTTTTGGTCTGTGCCAGGTACTCAAGACATCGTGGCAAAAGGCGGCGCGCTATGTTCCCCAGCTGCAGCCCGAAGTCATCCAAAGTTCGCCCCAGAAATTATAACACATCTTCCGGGTATTCGGGTCGTGGCAATAATGCCAGCATTCAGCTTCACCAGTTAGCTGCTGGTGCTGATCAAGGCCTTTTGGGGCCTAACCTCCTTCAGGGGAGATCTGAGTAGGGCAGCCCCATAACCTTCCAAAAAAAGTCTCGCAGAAGTCCTTGGCTAGATGGTTGAAGATGGGTCTTGCGGACAATTGGACAACGTGAAAGCAGCTACTTGACCACGAGGTTGAGTGTTCCGGATTACTACTGGGGTACCTAAAGGTTCAAGGTATAGATTATATAATGGGGATATACTAGGGTTATATTGGGATAATGGAAAATAGAATGGAAACTACTATTTAGGGTTTAGGGGTTTAGGGTTTAGGACGGAGCTTCTTGTGATTGATGGATACACAGGCCTGGAGTTTTGGAGCTTGAGGTTTAGGTGGTTTCCCGAAACCTTATCAACCAGGAATCAACGCACGATGAACTGGGTGAGATACGACAGCTCCCCTGCAAATGATTCTGCGCATAGCTGCTGTTGATCCAAGGCATTTGTTGATACCTCGCCCCGTCCCTCAGCAGGAATCAGGAACTTTTGCTCGCAGTACCCGAACGGCACAGTAGAAGTATTCCCAAGGGCACCCCTAAACCCTAAACCCTAGTCCTGTTTTATGAGGAAGGGACTGCTGTGGGGATCCAAACTTCGTAATTCAGACGAAGGTAGACAAGATGAAAGAGCATCCCAGCAACCACTGAATTAGGCCCTATAAGTGCAGCAGATAACTATCCCAAAAACAGACCTCTAGATTTTAAACTAATAGAAAAGAAAATTGAAAATACAAATCAAACATCAGCAGTGCGAATGAGAATCCTACGGAAAGCAATACGTAATAAGAGCGAACCCCTAAGATTATCCCTGGAATTCCTACGTCTGATCACCCTTGCGCGAGTCCCCAAGCCGCGATTGGAAGCCACTCTAGGCAAGTCTGGAGGTTCATCCTCGATAACACCAAGCCCTCAAGATATGTCCATGAGGTCCAGTGTGCCGCGATCCGATAATGCAGGCACGCGATTTACAGTATAAGTCTTGGGGTTTCAGATGGTTGGTACATGGTTTAAACAGGGCTTCGGTATAGGAGGATTAGGGGTGGGGCGTGGTATGTCTCAATGCCCTTGGCACCTTGCTATGTAATTAGACCTTGCCTGCGGGACCCTAAAGTTTTTGGTGTGCACTTGAGCTAACCTGCTGGGTACCTTTCTGGAACTTGGAACTTCGCTCACTCAGTTGAACCTTGCCCCCGTAGGTGCTAAAGTCTTTTGAAAGTACAATTCTGGGAACTACAACACATGTCCCCACCCAGGTTACGACACAACGCAGAATGGGTGTTCCAACAATTTAGATTCCCTTACAGAGCCCAGAACTTTGTTATCCTCACGACCGAAACTCCACCAAAATTGACACCTGACTCGTCAAAACCCCAAACACAAGGCCATGGAGAATGGGCATGTTCCGGCCGCAGGTAACAAAAGGAAGCTGGATTCAGCGAGACTTGTTTCAACGGATCTAGGGTGATGGGCTCGGGGCCCAGTGTCCACTGGAAGCAAACTTTGCATCTAAACCTTTCGTTTCTTCCTCTTAGAACAGAAGTTTGACTTACCGAACAGGGACCGTGCCCAAGCAAGAGCACACACTGATGCCGAGCAGGTCATTCGCATTTACAACTGAGAGACGCCCATTTCGATCCGGGAGTAAGCAGACAAGTTTAGGGTATAGGGTTTAGGTTTTAGGGATTTAGGATATAGGGTTTAGGCTTTAGGATGCGAATATCACCAAGCTCCATAATATGTGGTGAGTGTCCAATCTTCTTGAATTGTGGGGCAATGTTGCATAAGCAGGATAAAGGATTTTGGACGTATTTTCTGCCTGGGCACAGAGCCTATGAGGAGTACTTGAAGGGTTAGGGTGACTTAGTAAGTAGGTTTATAATGAGGATACCTAGGGTTGCTATATGGGTTATAGGGGTTATTACCCTAC